TGTGGGAGCAACCTCTCCAGAACTGCAGTTACCCAGTGCTGCCAGAGTCAGGTCGTGGGGCTGGTTTGGTGGGGCAGTCCTGTCAGCAGGTTGACAGCACACAGAGGGAGGCCTCTGTCTGAACCCTCTGCTGGAATGTGGATAAAGCCCCTCAATTAACCTGAAGGAGCAAACGAGGTATCTGAAAAATGTCTTGGGAAAGATTTTATGTGAATCTTAAGAAACCATGGAGCTGTCAGGCTCCCTGGCTCTCTCTTTTGTGCAAGAAACATGTGTGAGTTTTAGAAAGGAGCCTTTTTGTCCTATCTTCTCTTTCTCTGCAGTTTGTAGCTCCATGCAGACTGGTGATTATTGACAAACTATTTCTGTTGTTATGTGTCTAGAGGGCTCAAACCAGTGCCTGATGAAGAGCTGATCGAGCTCTACGGTGGTACACAGCACATCCCCCTGTACCAGATGAGTGACTTCTATGGCAAGGTATTGTAAGCCCTTTACTGCTATGATGCAGCAGCTTTTTTAGCAGCTACAAAAACAGAGTGAATTGTATGAGCATGTAAATGACTCCAGCCTCCCTTGGACTCCGAAAGGCTCAGTCCCTAGCGAGCTGCAGTGTGTGTTTTTGTTCTAGTGAGAATTTGCCCCAGAGGTTATTTAGCAGTTTAGCATGTGAAAGCCATTTGTGGAGCTTTTCTAAACAGCAGGGCTATTGGCCTAGAGCTGAATGGCTCTGGAGACTGATAGGGAGATGTTCTTTGCTTGTTTCTTGGCCAAATCTAGCTCCCAAGCTACCAGGTCAGCCTGCAGTGATGGTGTTTGCTGTGCGGGAGGGGATATGGTGTGTAGCAGCAGGGTGCTCGCAATGCCTTTCTCTCTTTGGTTTTGGGTAGGGGTTTTTTATTTCATGAAAGGGATCTCTCCTCCACACCTCTTCAGACTTATTCAGTGGATATTATTCATAGGATTGGCTTCCATGACTGTTAGGGGACTTTTTTTAGGCAGAAAGGCTCACTGTCATAGTAAAGGACTGAATTCTGTCCATAGGGGCTGTAGAAATCCTTTGGTTGCCTGAACTAAAGGAAGTTAGGAGAAATTTTTCTTCCTTAAGTGCCTGATGTGGTGCAGTGGGCAAGCAGGGCCATTCACATCCCTTTCCCCCCAGAACTGCTTTGTTTCTTACCCTTTGTTAGTTCAGTTGCCTTAGGGGAAGCTGGAAGGAGAAGGGCAGGCTTCCTCTGCTAATACCCTTTTGAGTCTGCTGTGTGAAGTCTCCAGCAAGGTCACTTTTTGATTTCTCTCTCTCTCTCTCTCTTGGGAACAATTAATCTGAATAGTTGCTTTCTGCATAAGTGTATACTCTGTTTATAGCTCAGTGTTGTTTTCAGCTTTGGAATAGGATGTTTCTGTTTAGAATTTGATATGTCTGTAAACTGCGCTCTATTAGCCTTCTGCTGTGCAATTCTCCTCACTCCTGGCAAACCTGAGATTATTTCACCTTTCTTTTTAAAAAATGTAAGCATGATATCTGCTTTGAGCTGTGGCCTTTGCTATGAGCAGGTGTCCATGCCAAGGTGCTTTTCTATGCTGCTTTGTATGTACCAGGTGTTTTCTTCTCTCCTGTTGTTTAATACTGAAAAAATCAGTATAACATTTGGCCACAGAAGCAGAGAGAGCAGCTTATTCTTTGCAAAAAGGTGAATCTCCTCTCCTAATAATGTAATGAACTCCATAAACAAATAGGTAGATCCCAAAGAGAACAAAAGTACATACAATTAATGACTCTTGCATCCAGGAATGTCTTCTCAGCCTGTGCCACTAACTCATTAGTGGGAAAGCAAGGGGTTAAGGTAGTCTGCCATGCTGATGTTGCTCCCTTTGTAACAGGAAGGTTTGCCAGGTCCCTGATTCCAGGCAAGGCATAAGACAAGTGGGACTGATGTAGCTGAAGCATGTGAATATTCTCCCTTAAGGGTTTCTTTTATCTTCTGCTGGCATGAGTGTGTGGACAGCTACCGGCATCCCAACACCTGCAGTAGGCAGGCACAGATCTTGCCCAGGGTCAGACAATGCAGCTAGTATGGCTTTCATTGGCAGAACTAGTGCTGGCCAGTAATGGGAGTGGAGAACTCATGGGTGTTGTGGAAAAAGTGTACCTAGCGTTCTTTCTAAAACTATGGTCCAGTTTTCATCCCGACTTATATCAATATGTCTGCTGTGAGGAAGTCAAGGCCTCTAAAGGGAGGTGGGGAGGCTGGACTTGCCTTGTAGGATGATGACACAAGGCACAAAAACAATATTAGAGTTGACTAACTACAAGGTAAGTCTTTGCTGTTAACATTGAACATTTAACTGTCTCTTTTATGCTTAAGGTCTTGAAAGGTGGGACAGGTCATTGCTGTGCTCTGCTAAATCCCATACCTGGTGATTTCAGTAGGAACTGCCTGTCTGTGTCCCTCTTGCTTCTTTCCCAGAATCCCTGAACAAGAAAAAAAAGGTGGGGACTGTTTTCAGGAAATGTTGGTTTTGCAAGTGGGAGAAATGTTCCCTTAGCAACCACACATCAAAATGGACAGAAGTCTGTTGAAGGGATTCAGTGAGTATTGCTAAGCAGCACCACTGTGTGCAATATGTGGCCCAAACCAGAGGGTGTCCTTTGTGTTCTCTTCTGCTGTAGGTCAAGTTGTCCTGTCCTGGTTGGATGGAAATTGTATAACCCTCAGCTCACCAACATAGATTTGTAATTGCAACATTTTTTGGTAGTAGACCCCGGACAAAATGTTGTTTATTATTTCTTGGCCCTTTTTGCATGACCTTTCTTGACCTCAATTTGTGTTGCCCCAATATTGCTTTTAGATAGTGCTGCAAAGTGTACTGGTCTCTTGTTCTACCCTTACCAGACCAGACTAAATGGGAGATGTTAATGTTGTTCCATCCTGACGTGACAGTGGCACATGGTTTGCCATTAGGCAGGACGCGCCATCTGTCAGCTCCACCGTATGTACCTTCTGTGATCTTTTGGATGTTGCTTTCATGTCTGCCTTTCACATAGCTATAATAAATGCTTTCTGATGTGGACCAGTATTATCCTAGAGAGTCAGAACTTTGTGTCTGTCAGTCATGGGTTGCTCAAAGCTCACATGCACAGGCATGATGCAACTGGATTGCCAGGGAACCTCTGGTGACCGGGTTCACTCAGAGGTCTGTGCACTTCCCAGTTTGCTTTTCATATACAGCACCTTAGTAGCTGTTCCCTGGCTGATCTGGCACTTCAGCAATGAAAGATGAAAAAATTTATTCCAGCTTCAGCTTACTAGTGAGACTCACCATAGTCTTCTGCACAGGTGGTACATACTGAATAAAAAAGCTTTATTTTACTGGATGGCCTCTCTGGAGACAGCATTGGCTGTTGACCTGCTGATAGGTCTGTGATTGATAGACAATAAAAATAGCAAACGTGTGGGAGAGCTGCAGTCTTGCTTAAGGCCAGGTGAGTTATTCCTTGGTCAGGATTTAATTGTCCATTTCCACTTGACTGCTGAGTGGACTGAAGTTCTTTTTCTTCTTTGTGCCCACTCTGGGTTTTCCGTAGCGACTCAAGGGCAGGCAGACACTGACAAACTGTTTGTTGGAGTGATTCTTGCATTGGTGGACTGAAGTTCTTTTTCTTCTTTGTGAAGTTCTTTTCTTCTTTTTCTTCTTTCTTCTGTGTTCTGGGTTTTCCGTAGCGACTCAAGGGACTCAAGGGCAGGCAGGCATCGACAAACTGTTTGTTGGAGTGATTCTTGCATTGCTGTGTGAAACCTCACTGGAATGTGGTTAGAGCAGCTTTGGTGCCCATGTGTCCCATGTCAGCCTGGTTTAGATGAGCAATGAAGCGCCTCCAGCAAGGGCCATAGCCACTTCTGTAGCAGAGTGTTGTCTATTGGCAGTAACACCAAGAGGCCAGTTGGGAAGCAGAGGGCATGGGGTTGAAATAAAAGTTAGTGTCTAGGAATGACTCCCCGCTTCTTCCACCTTCACCCCATGGTGTAATGATGCTGGGTTTAAATGATTTCTGTGAAGGAGAAGCCTCTCTCTTGTCAAGTATTAATACATTAGGTTAGTGTTTTGGTTGAGAAGAGGGGGCTACTTGCTGAGTGGCTAGGACTTTCCACATTGGTATTTTTCTTTTTGTTAGCCTGGAATGTCTTCCAGATAGTGCTGGGTCATATGAGTTTGTTGGCTTTACTTTGTAAAAAAATATTTTTTGTTTAGTGTGTCTCCTTCATTTTTTTGCTTTCCAGGGTCCATCACTTAAGCAGTTTATGGACATCTTTTCTCTTCCTGAAATGACGCTGCTCTCTTCAGTCATTGATTACTTCATAACTCATGGCATTGAGTTTGACCAGGTGCATCTTTACAAGGATATATCTGTAAGTAAAATGTTAATTGCCTCATTCCACATCAGAATTGTGAGCTCTTTGGCTTGTTAGCACCGTGAGTTCTGCAGTAGCCAAACCTAAGGGGCTGTTAGTGAGTAGCCTAATATGACAGCATCGTGCCTCTTTAGATTAAAGCATTACCAAGGAACACTCAAAGCTGTGTTTTTAGAATATGTTATAGGTTTCTGTCTGTACGACAGAGTTGGTGTTGCTGTACGTTATCTCTTGCAGGAGTGCCTAGGCTGGTTAGGTTGAAGGCCCTTCCATGGAAAAGGCCCTTCATGTGTCCGTGAATGTTTTCTGCTTCTGCAGACTTTTAAGCTCTGTGTTTTCCTGTTAATATCTCAAAGAGGCTTGGTCTGACCGTGTATCACACAGTTTGTTTTATATAGTGATTGCTGTGAAACACCTGCTCTTGCCTGCTCTGAGAATCCACTCCTTCCCTTTGCAGCTACAGAGTAGTCTGACCTTTTTGAGGTGTTTTTCAGTGGGTGACTGTAGTTTCCAAGAGACAGTTACTCCAAGGTGCTAACTGTGCCCTCCAGCTTCACTCCTGGCATTTGAAAGGGCTGCATGGGATACTGTTTGACTTCCTAGTTAATGCTGTGCTTTAAGATACAAGTGCTTGAGATTTCTGCCCTGTGTGACTTCTGTTGACAGATGATGCACCTTCCCTGTAGCCATACCTTATTGCATGCCTTTTTTTTCATGGAGAGGGATTTTTAATTTGTACCTTGTGGGGATATTTTGCTCATCCAGTGGTAGCAACCTGTATGTACACTGTTCCGTCTTCTTGTGAGGATTGCCACATCTGTGCTGCTTCTTTTGTGATAAGGATCTACCCCGTCAGCTTTGCTGCAGACAAGGATTACACCTTACATCCTGACCTTCTGTTAGTCCATGATAAGAGCATGCCAGCTAGTTTCCCACAAGACCTTAACATGTTTCTAGGGTGTTAATAGTTGTAGTTGTTTTTGCTTTTGAGGTGGGACAAATAGGAAGAGGGGATACAGCTGAATCCTGAGGCCTTTTGTCAAGACTGTCTTCTGAGCTTTCATTTGAGGTTAAAATGGACTTGTTCCTAATTGAAATCTTGAGAGCAGGTGGGTAGTTGCCATAGCCTAATACCTACTCAATACAGGGTAAATGGTGTGGTTGGGGCCCAAAACTCCCGAGTGTGGCATTTGTCTTCGCATCCTTTGCTGAGGGATGTGGTTATTCCTGAGGAACGACTGAGGTAGGCAGTGAAGATTTTTCCAACAGCGTATCTGTGCCAGTGCTTGAAATCTATACTGAAAAGGTGGGGACTGTCCTGTGCTCTCACCAGAAGAGCTTTTTTTCTGTTCAATGAGGATAAACAATCATTTTTGCAAAACTTCTCCCTTTGCAGTAGCCAACTGCAAATGCAAAGAAACGGTTTGCACAGAGATCCTTTTGTGCCTACACAGATGGGTGTCCAAGAGGACCTGCGTAGCCCCAGCCGTTATTACAACACAGGCTCACGATAGGTTAAGACTTGTCTAAACCTGATACTCTTCTGTAAAACTTAGTGGTAATCCTGATTGCAGCACTGTGTGTTAGGGAGCAGGTTGAGTGCTAGAGACACTGCACTGAGTCAAAAGAGCAGACCCTGAGGCAATGGTAAAGGCTGAAGCTGACATGTAAACCAAGTAGTCCTGTCACACCAGTTTGGTCACTTCCTGTAAGAGCGTAGAGTTTACCCTGCGTTCCTTTGGAGGAGTTTTTGAGCTCTGTTGGGCACCTTCCCAGGCTACCAAGATTTTACCTGCAGGAACCTTATAGTTCTTTCCCCATCCACTTTTTGATTTTCTTTAGCTTCTTTTGATTTTAGGGGACAGGGATTTAGGGAAGGAGCATTCCTTTAGAGAAGGAATCTCTTTCTGCTCTGCAATAGTATTTTTGACACAAATACAAAGCATTGCTTGCTAGTGCTGGTCAAAGAAAACTGTTTTCTTCTTAGTGCTCTTGCGTCTTGTTTGGTTTCTTTCTAATAAGGCAGTCCCTTGGTGAATGAGATGTGACCTCTGCCTTTTTACTATTCCAATCTATATGGTTGAAAGAGACTCCTAAAACTCTGTTTTGAAGAGGTGCCACCTCCTCCTTCATCATCCCTCATCTAAGCTGCAAATTCTGGTTCTCTCCCAGCTTTGAAGGAAATTATTTTTGGGGTGATGAGCAGGTTTCACTAGTGCTGCTGTGAGACCAGGTGACTGTGTGGTGTTGTGTGTGTCAGTGGTGAGTGTAGGAATCCAGGCTGAAAGGGCAGCTCCCGAAGGAGAGCAAGTAGTGCAGCGGGTATTTAAGAGTCCTGTTACACTAGGGGAAAGGCAGCATTTGTTTACTGATCTAAATTGTCAGGGATTAAAATGTGTTGCTGTTCTGGAAATGGTTTTGTGTATCTGGCCTACCTGGAGACTTGGGAAGAATCTCAGTTGAGGATGTCCAAAAATGTGTTGCATTTTGGCCTCTGACCTGGAAAACAGAGGATATTTGGACACCCCTGATGGTATCTATTTTAACTTGCCTCCCTCCTGAAAAGTGACCAGCTCTATTTTGGTTTAAAAAAACCCACAAACCAAACCAAAAAACCTCACCCTCCTAGTGGAAGCTTCTGCTCTACCTGTGCCCACTGGCCATCTAGGGCTGGGAGCTGTAGCCCTCCTTGGCTTGTGGGGAGTGTTTTGGAATCACAGATGCTCACCACTGCTGCTGGTCACCTCATCTACACTCCCAGCCTTTGGGTCACATTTGGCAGAGCTTCCACAGATGTAGAGAGGAAGAAAAGCCAGCTGGTGTCTGGGCCAGTATGGTTTTGGGGCAGTACACAGTTTTGGAATTGCACAGTCTTGATTGCCTTGGTAAGGGTGTGTTAACATGTGCTGGTTTCCACGAGCAGGAAGGAAACTGTGCTTTCACGGATAGGTTTTGAGGTTTTTCCCCTTGTACTGCATCAGCTGAGCTAGTCACTGTGTACTTTTTGGCATGTGGGTGAGCCTCGCTGTACAAGGTCCTCTGCTTAGCATTAATGTAGCTTTTGTTCATTCAGCAAGAAGAGGAGATGTGTCATTACTGTACTGGTCCTCAGTGGTGACAACAGGTTTGTGTGCTGGTGAACAGGAATGCCATAAGTGAAACTGAAGCTTTTTTTCCCTGCTCTTTTCTTTAGGATGCTATCAGAGATGTACATGTGAAAGGAGTGATGTACAAATGGATTGAAAAAGATATGGGTGAGTTAAATAGAGCTCTGGAACCAAATCCATTTTGATGTGTCTCGTACTATGTGGTGTCCTGTGTCAGATGAGTGTGTAGGACCTACACGCAGTCACAGGAGCCAGGGGGACACAGAAATTAATGAAATACTTGCTTGTGGATGCCTAAAGGCAGCTGAGGGGTAGAGTGGCATTAAGAACCCAGTGGTATTTAGGGACAGGTGGAGGATCTATTTTAATGGAGGAGATGGATACCTCATTGCTTGTGTTTCTTTTTCCCTTCATTTTGTAAGTGAGGGATGATAGTCCTTGGCATGATGTGAACATGCAAAGGCACCATTGGGAAGGCTTCCTGGTCATTCAAGGGAAAGAAAACTCCTGGTAGCAACATGGCCTGGAGTGGCTGTGCCTGTCCCTTGCGATGGTTTGGTATCAACCCTATTTTTGCTGATCTTTTCAGTTCCTCAGTCTTTCTCTTCCCTATAGATGGGATTGATGAGGATAAGAAAGGACATTTTGTCACCATGGTGGTTCTCTGCCTGCCTGCCTGAGGGGGACCTAACTCAGGCCTTTTGCATCCCTAGTGGTATAGGGGCTAGGTTTGGGTTTGTTTTTAAAGAAATGTGGTCATGACTTATGCCAAATTTTTTTGATTGATGATGTCTGTTTTATTCTGATATAGAACAGTATATTCTGCATGGGGATGAAATCTATGCTGTGCTAAACCGACTGGTGAACCACAAGAAGAAACTCTTCCTCATTACAAACAGTCCCTTTAGCTTTGTGTAAGTACCGTTATCGCATATCGACGGGTCACCACAGCCCAGCAAGAGCTGTGCAGTGCAATATCTCCTGTGAGCATCTGGAAGTTGTGTGCTAGAGGTTTTTGTGGCAATAGTGATGAAAGTGCTTTCTGGGATCTGGTTGTGGTGAATGTTGCACCCCACAGTTCTCTCTACACCATTGACTCACTTTTTGAAGAAGAGATGAGGCTGTGGCTAGCCCGAATGTTACAGAGCTGCCACTTTGGATTACCTCTAGCAGCTTCTGCTGCATCACAGACTCCTCTGGACTTCCCATGGTAGCAGAAGAAAGGTGGGGCAGCTTGAAGCAGTCAAAGTGCTACATCAGTCGTCCATGCAATGAGACAGCCTTGGGAGATTCACAAATCTCAGTGCTTAAATATTCTCTGTTACTGAAATCAGAGTAAATTTAGGACATACTGTTGTGAAGATGCAATGTTGGGTGAAAAAGACTAATCCATCTGTTAATTTTTCTGTTTCTTTGCCCTTAGGGACAAAGGCATGAAACACATGGTTGGCAAGAACTGGAGGGACTTATTCGACATGGTCATTGTGCAAGCTGACAAGCCCAACTTCTTCACTGATCGACGGAAGTACGTGTCCCAGGGTGATATTGCATTGCTGCATGGAGGTCTGAGGTTTCCAGCCCCCTTCACTGGAGTAAAAGGATTTCTTTACTTGCCAGAAAAGTAGTGTTTTTCTAAGCATAATCTAGGTCCAGTAGGCATCCAGCCTTCCAGTGCCCCCTCAGATACTCTCTGAGGAGATAAAAATCAACCAGTCTGGGAATAAGTGGATAGAATGGGTAGTGCCAAGCAGAAAGTGTAATTCTAAAATTGGCTATCTTAAGCCTCATTGGTTTTGTCTTAACATAGATGTTTTTAGGGGTTTTAATGTACTTAAGTCTTTAGAAAGAAAAGAAGAGTGGAGCTGTGTGTATGAGAGCTGGCTGTTTCTTGACTCTGGGTCATGAGCCACAATCTTTCCTTTTCCTGTTCCCCACAGCAAATATCTCTGTGGTTTGGGTTTTTTGTTGTTTTTTTATGTTACTGGATACATGCTGTTTTGTAATTGGCAGCTCTGGAAGCCTTTGTACATGGCAGCTGGTTTTTGTGGTCAGTTAGGAGCTGCCAAGGGACTAGCTGATAGGCAAGCTACTGTCCTCGCTTTGCTCTTTGGATTATTGGCTTGGGAACTTGTGTCTGCTTTGTTGCCTCAATTTATGCCTGACCAGAAATTACTGCTCTTGAGGGAGAGGTCTTTCCTATTAATGTATATTCTTCCCCCATTTCCCAGGCCACTAGCATAAACAAGAGTAAACCTAGAGATGGCTTTAAAAGCTGTGCTGACCTGGTAGATGTTTTCTCCATGGGATGTGGGTGAAGTGTTTTACAAATGTAGTGTGGAGCTATGATGATCTGGACCTCTAGGACATAAAACCTTATGGCTGCATGCTGCTGAAAGTTTGCTTGTGTGGTGGGCCAGTGGAATGACAGGACACATATATCCAAGGTGAGGGGGAACCTCCTGATAGTGAGCTGTAGTGAACTGTGGAGTGTTTTGTCTGAGGGAAAATGCAGGTGTGCACTGGAGACCACTCGTGGGTGAGGAGCCTCCGGAGTGGGTAGGCTGTCGAGTTCATTGTGGGAGGTTGGATTCCTTCTGCCCTGTGGCAGCTCGGGATCACACTACTTCTGCATGAGACCGTACTCTGCTTGCAGCAGGAGCAGCTTCATACCAAGGCTTTTGTTCCTGGAGCTCCCAGTTTGGACCTCCCAGGATAGCAAAGCTCCCGTCAAGCATGAACATCCATTGGGGGTCAAGTAACTTAAGCCTTGTTTTGTTTCTTCTGTCCAAGAGGAACATAATCAGGCAAGACCTCAGGAACAACAGGAGCCAGCTCAGGTCAGCTGCCAAGATCCGCACGGAGACTGTTTTCTATCCGCTCTGCAGTCTGCTTTATCCTATTAAGACATTCCATGGTCTCTGCTGTGCTGAGGTGTACCCAGACTGGAACAGGACACAAACTGTTTCATGGCAAAGCCTTCTTGGCTTTTGCATTTCAAAGGGGGTCTGTATTATTTTTTCCCTTTCTCTGTATCTGAAAAGCAAGAAGAGTTGTTAGGGATATTGCCATGAAATGGTTACAGTCAGTGGAAGCATTTTGAAAAGATATTTCCCTTTCACACTTTCTCTTTAAAAAAAAGAAAATAGTGCAGAAGGCCCAGAAGGTGACTTCTCACGTAGAGCTTTTATTAGCTGCTACATAGGTAAACAAGTTTTCTGATTTAAATGTTGTGGTTGCTGAGCAACAATCACCAAAAATCAAAAGAAGTTGACATCTGCCCCCTTTTTTTCCAGACCTTTTCGAAAACTGGATGATAAAGGCTCACTGCAGTGGGACAAAATAAACCAGCTGGAGAAAGGAAAGATCTACAAAGAGGTAAAGTGACCTGGGTGCATAAGGGGTATGAAGCAAGAGTTTGAAATGGTGGGGACTCATAAGTCTCCAGTTTTGGGAGTCACTGGAAAACAGAAAAATCTGCTTAGTCAGGGTGGGGGAAAATGATGTGTTCTTCTATAGGTCACTTGTGGATGTTTGATGTTCGAAAATGAAGAAGCAGAAGTCCTTGAAAAGAATGCCTGTGATAGTTAGAGGGTATTTGTAAGAAGACGTGCTCTAGGCTCTGTGTCCTGCACTGGCTGGTGGCAGTGAGAGATGCCCTCTGTCCACGTGCAGAGAGCTCTTGCTGGCCTGGTAGGACACTGTCCCCTGAATGCTTTCAGCGTGTCTCTTGGCATGCTGTGGAGCAATAGCCTGCTGGGCTGTAAGGATTAGAATAAAGGGTCTGTTCCTCTATCAGAAAGCCCTGCCAAGGCCTGAGTGACCTGTCACTGTGTGATGGTTTAAACTGCTGAGAATGGTGAGAGATGCTTCATGCCAGGTATAAAAAAAGGCTGCTCTCCCGGCAATCCCAGCTTTTTACAGTTGCAGGAGGCAGAGCTGAAATGAGGTGTAACAGAGCTGCCTAGTAGGAAAACTTTTTGTCCGCAGCTCTGAAGCAATTTCCGTGTGTGGGTCATGCTGCAGAAGTGATTTATTCCACCCAGCTCAACTGGGATTGGCATTAGAGATGGAGGGTCCCTGGGACAGGGACAAGGGGGGAAAGGTCAGAACAGGGCCAGTTGAGTTAGGGTGTTGGGTACTTGCCTTTCTGCCCAAGAGGACCCGTACCAGGTTACCTCAGCCAGGCTAAGTTTTCCCCTGCAGCTGCTCTGTTTGTGTGAGAAGGGGTAGCAGGGAAACATCTTCTGCATGTGCAGCAGGGGAGCTCCCCTGCCCCAGTGTACAGTGAAACCTTGACCCTTGGAGCTCTGTTCTGACATGGTCCAGCGTGGCCAATAGTGCAGTTTTCCCTTGTCTCTTCTGATGTCCTGGTCCTGAAACCCTTGTCCTGGAGGAGCTCCCAAGAGCATGCCAGTTCAGGGTAAGAAGGCAGAGCTCTCTGCAATGTGATCTGCAGGCAAAGGTCTTCCACACCTCACTCCATATTGTCCTCCATAAGGATGGAAAAGGTGGACTTGTGGAGGAGGGAGCAGAGAAATCAGGGTGATCAAATAGGACACAAAGCCTTGCTCCTGTCTCTCTCCCCTTCCTGAAGGACAAACATGTCCGAAGGATGAGCTGTTACTCTGGTGAACTTGCTGCCTTGGGGTGTTCTCCTTGCAGCTTGTCTGTCCCCTGAGAACAAGTTGCCTCTGGCTTTAGGACGGTTTGTTCTTGGTTATGTGAGCTGTCCAATCCCACGGGAAGAAACTGTTAGTGAGATTGTGGTCAAGTAGCTGGGACCTGACCTATGGTACAAAAGTAGGTCATGTCCTGGAGTAGTGCTGTTGGAAAGCCTCTGGCCTGTCCGGTGGGTCTGTCAAAGCGCTCTGCTAGTGTCCCATCCTCTGCCAAGAGCTAGGAGCTGGGAACGTGCAAGTAGAGCTCATACAAAGTCTCTCTCCCATGGGCAAACTTCCCCAGTGAGTTAGAGCAGCTCCCTCAGAAGAAAAGGTCCACCTCAGGCATGGGGTTTACTGCTGAATTAAATCCTGCTCTTGACCACCCATATCTTGTGGCCACAGGTTGCTCACCCAAATGAATGGTGCATTGGGGAAGGGAAAAGAGGGAGGAAGGAGGGATGGGTGGAATTTTGGAGTCCTCTCTGGTTCTCCCCCACCACAGTGTTCATCCAGCTGCATCAAGGTTGTTGCCTAACTAGTTTTTGGGCTGTGACAGAGAGTGTATCCTGGTTGTAGTACACCTTGTCCCCAGCATTTTTGGTTTCTTGAGGTGCCATAGTATGCTTCTTTCTGGTAAGTGTTAGTGGCCACAGATCTTGCTGTGCTGGCAACGCTGCTGGAGGCCTCTGAGCAGACATGTTCCTGTCTTCTGAAGCACAGAGGCATGGCAGTTGTGCTGTGGGTATCTCAGATGAATGGGATCTCAGGGACTGGTGTCACACCGGGGACTGGGAAGTTCAAGTGATGGCCCTTTAGTCCCTCCTTTCTGATAGAGGTGGTGTTTTCTCTTTGTGGCACGTCCGTACTGCCATCCCTCCCCTAGTCTGCCATCTCCAGAGGCAGGGAGAAGGACAGACAGCTCCTGGAGGTCATGTAACAAGTCTAGGGCTCAGTGGAGGTCCAAGTGCAGGTTTGCTGGTTGTCAGATCCACTGCTGTTTGAGGACCATCCTCCTCCCAAGGCTGTGGTCCATTTCCCTGCTCTGTCAATGGCTTCTTGAGCAACCTTCAAGAGAGCAGCAGCAATGTCATGTCCAAGAAGTGCAGAGGCATGCCTGACCTTGTGTTCTCATGCTGTTAAGGGAAGTGTGCATCGCCGGTGATGCTGCAGGAGACCCAGCACCCTGGTGCTGGACACCCTTTGCCATGCATACAGCTTGTTGCCAGTGGCCACATGCAGGACTGCAGGCTGTTGTGGGAGCTGGCTTGTGTTTGGGAGGTTTCTGCCTGGGCCAGTGCTGTTGGGTGGATGTGCTAGTTCTGTTTCCTGGCACTGGAGACTGGCTGGAGAGATGGCTGCTGCGTGGCTCACAGGTTTGCACTGATTGATTTTGCTGCCACCATCTTGTCTGCTGGAGTTGATGGGGACTTTTTCTTTCCTAGTGGGTTTTGTGTCTGTTGTGACTCATGTGGAAAACTTGTATGGAGATGGAAGGGGGGTCCCTGAAGTCTCCTCTGTGTGCAGACAGATGCTTGGAAAGCCTTGAAGGCTGCCCTGTGCAGCGCTTTCGCTGATGCCTTGGGGTTTGGTTTGTTTTACTTAGCTGTGAACCTACCCAAGCTGCTTGGCTTTTTGGCTTGGTTAAGTAATTCCTGTGAACGCGTGGGCGTTGGTAATCTTTTGGGTTGGGATGGTGCTCAGTGATGTGAGAACAGCCTCAAGTGCTCCTGACTCCAAAAGCCTCGCGTGATGGTGCTCACCTTACCTTACCTCTGATGCACCCTGTGGGGCGAAACTGTTATCACCTGAGCCTGACAACTTCTAAACACAGAACATCCAGAGTTCTTTCTGTCCGTTGCTCAGGCTTTTCTAAGTTGGTGTCTCTCACTTTTGGCCTCTAAACTACTTTTTTTATTGCCTTTTTGGTTCATGTAGTCCTCTTGACTTGCTGTGCCCTAGAGCACAGAACTTCCCCCTGGATTGCCTTTTGGGTTCGGAAGAGTTTCTGCCATTGTCTTTAGTCTGAGAAAAGCTCAGGGATGTACAGGGGGGTTGTCACATGGGAAGGAAGTGAGATAAGGTGGGGAAGGACAGAAACCTCTGGGTTTGGATGGTGGGGGGGTGAGCAGGTTGACATGAGAGTGCTTATATCTGCATGTGGTAAGGTTGAATGTCCAATTGTGTTGACAGGGTTGCTGAGGTGGCTGCCCAGTACCACATGGTGAGGATGGAGGCGTTTGGCCTGTAACCACATTTCTCTCTGTGCTCCTTTTCCTTGCAGGGTAACCTCTTTGATTTTCTGAGGCTGACAGGCTGGCGTGGGTCCAAAGTGCTGTACTTTGGTGACCATCTGTACAGCGACCTTGCGGTGAGTGAAGAGGTCTCTGCTCTGCAGTGGGAGAGGTGGGAACAAGCCTGTGTGGCTGCTGTGGTTGCAGCTGTGTTGGAGTGTCAGGCAGGGCCCTGCTCCGAGCGCTCAGGTCTCCACTACGCTGTGCTGGGTGCTCTGCAGGCTGTGACTTTTGGGGCACACTTGTGACAGATAAGCATCCCCACTCTGCTGTCACACAGAATCAAGCAGTGGAGAAAAGGCTTCTGAAATACTTCCTGTGGGTAAAGAACATCTGCTGGTCTGTGAACTTCGGAGCAGTTTGTGTGAATCCAACGTTTCTCCACAGCTCTTGGCCAGGAGATGGGTGTTACTGGCATGGGTCATGGGTGCCTGTCCCCTGAGAATCCATAATGGGAACAGACCACTCTTCTAGGAAACAGGGTTGTGTTTGGCTTTCATTCTTTATATTGAATTCTTGGTTGTTTTTTCACCCCGACCTCTAGGACCTCATGCTGCGTCATGGCTGGAGGACTGGAGCCATCGTTCCTGAACTGGAGACGGAGATTCGGATTATAAACACAGAGCAGTACATGCACTCCCTGACCTGGCAGCAGGCCCTGACAGGGCTGCTGGAGAGAATGCAGGTAAACAGCTCCTGTCTGAGCGGGGCGGGTAGCATGCTGCCTTTTGAGTTTGTGTTTTGGGCTTGGTGTGGGAATCAGGGATGCCCCATGTTGCCTGTGTTCTCAAAAATATCTCGTCCTCCTCCTGGTGCAGTGGACTTGTGGGTTCATGAGTTACAATGGAAACTGGGGGGAGCTGAGGTGTGGCCCACAGGACTGATACGACTGGTGCTTTCTGCTGTTGGCTTTGCAGATGTATCAGGATGCAGAGTCGAAGCAAGTATTGCTGGAGTGGATGAAGGAACGGCAGGAGATCAGGTGAGCTTTGTTCCTCTCACTCATGAGGTCTCTCAGGAGTTCCCAGGGTCTATTTTGCAACCTGTTTTGGGAACGGTGGTACTGCAGCTGTTGGCCTGTGGTCCTCCCTGGTGTCCCATGTCTGAAGGAGGATGCAGCAGTGCAGCCCTGCAGCCTGGGAGCTTGGATGGGTTTGAAGGCAGGGTGGGAAGGGGAGGTGGTGTCACCCTGTGTTTGGTGTGGGGGTTGATGAGCTGTCTGCTGCTGCAGCTCCTGGCACTGCGGGTGGGTCCCTGCCCTAACAGGTAACAAGGAAGAGTGAGTGGGGTGAGTATTTGTCACAGTCTCACTTGGTCTGCATCACAGCCTGGGTGGGAGGGTACTCCGGGTGATCCCAGAATGTCTGCTGGAAGCTAGGTGGCTCAGGGATAAGGGATTGGAGGGGGAAGAATCTGTGACCATGGCCTTTTATCTACAGAGCACCATGGGTTTCCTTTCAGGTCGCTGACGAAGAACCTGTTCAACCCCCAGTTTGGAAGCATCTTCCGCACCTTTCACAACCCCACGTACTTCTCTCGGCGGCTGGTGCGGTTCTCTGATATCTACATGGCATCCATCAGTTGCCTAAAAAAATGCTGAACTATGATGTGAATTTCACCTTCTACCCCCGGCGCACTCCTCTGCAGCACGAGGCTCCGCTCTGGATGGATCAGCTCTGCACAGGCTGCATGAAAACCCCCTTCCTGGAGGAGATGGTGCACATCCGGTGAAGGGCCAGGTACTCCGGGCACCGGCACAGCGTGAGGCTGTACGTGGGGCCGGGCTGCTCGGCCAGCAGCACCTCTGTCTACCACTAAAGGGCGTTTGACACTTACATGTGTGTGTAGATGGTGTGCTTTATTTTTTTTCCCCTTCACTGACTCCATCCCTTTCCCTGAGGTGCTTTGCAGGCTGGACAGAGGAGGGGTGCTTGTTCTGGGCCATACGTGAGCCACAGAGAGTTCTCTGTAGGAGTAGGTGAGATGGAGAGTCAGTGCTGGGGGTGGGAAGCTGCCAATCCCTGCTCTGTGCCCAGAGAAGTGACTCAGAAATGGAGTCCTGAGTCTCTGGTGCTTGCTGAGCACGCTGCAGCCTCCCAGGTGAGGTGTGACAAGGTGTGTCAGGTTGGTAGCTGCCCCGACAAGGGGAGTGATTCTGCAGGGGGACAGTGAGGGGACAGGGTTGCCAACTGGGCAGCCAGTGAAGCACATCAGTGAATCATGGCTGACAAAGCATCAGCAGTGTTACCCACCCAGAACTAGTACCAGCAGCCCTCACCCCCATCCTGCTCCCCACCAGACTGGTCTGTCCAGCTGGTGATACTGGTAGGTAACTGTTAGTTAAACTTGCAGGATGTACAAGTCCTGTGTGAGAGCTGAGTGGGAGTAGGTCAGAAGGTCTAAAAATAAGTGTTTGATGACGTGCCTGGTTTCTGAGTGAGCTTAGTGCCATGCCCTGGTGGGATTTTTTGGGTTTGATGCTACTTGACATCAATATTTTGGCAATTGATGAGGCATGGTCTGTTGTGACTTGCAGAGGGATGTGTTCAGCCTTTCAGGGTGTCAGCAGCCGTGGTGGCCTTCCACCTGTGTTTGCTGAGGTGTGGCCTGAAGCGTAGAGAGGGATTGGTGTGGATGTCAAGGAGGGTGTGGGTGAAGTGCTGCTGGGTGTGCAGGGTCAGCAAAGCACTGAGGTGCTTCCTGAGGAGGAGGAAGAAGAAAGAGGGGATAATAGAGGTGCCAGAGCATGTACCAGATGCCAACGGTGATGGGCTGGGGCCCAGGCAGGTCTGAACTGCTTTAGGATGTGAGGTACAGAAAGTAGGTTCGTCACTGGGCTCGGGGCCATGCTGGTTTGGGCCAGGCTTGAGACTGCACTGAGGGACGGGCAGAGCCTTGGGGTGGGACAAAGGGGAGTTAGGTGGGTGGGGGGTTGTTTGTGCCACCCTGGTGCTGGCTGGCCCAGGGAAACAGGAGAATGTCATTCCAGTGGGAAGCTGGGTGTGTGGGAAGACGATGGCTATGGGGGTGTCAAGGGGTGAGAGACATCTCTGGGGTGGGGAGTAGTGTGTGCTCCCCACAGCACACAGGAGATGAGTAGTGTGGCTGCTGTCACTGGAACTGACATGCAGGGGCAGTCATGGGACGTTTGGAGGCAGAGCTCTTGGTGCTCTGGAGATGTTGGTTGCCTTAGTCCACCTCCCCCTCACTGCTGCACCATTTGCAGATGGCAACAAGGGTGACAGTGTTGGGGGGACAGGCAGGAGAGAGAGGGAACAGGGAACCAAGGCACTTTGGTGCGGGGTCGGGCAGTTAGCAGGTGGTGAAAGGGGTGAGCGACCACAGGGCTCTGGGACGCAGAGTGGGGCAGTGTGGCAGCCGTGGTGTCGGGGGCAGCGGCGCGGGGGGCAGCCGAGAGAAAGGACCAGGTGGGTGTGGAGGACCCTCTGCCAGGGGACGCCTCAGAGAAAGGTGCTGAAGTACAAGGTGTGAGTGTCGGCAACCCTCAGTGACACAGACACACACAGACACAGACAGACACA